CACACACACATACACACACACACACACACAAACGTACATATACATATATACATACACATGATGGTGTTCAAACCCCGATAATAGCAACAACCAGATTTTTAATGTAACATTCATTACGACCACCTTTTTTGAATATCGGAATTCAATGTTTATTGCGTTAATTTTCACTTATTTTCTCTTGGGATGGCAGAAACGAACAGTGTTCTATCTATCTATCTATCTATCTATCTATCTATCTATCTATCTATCTATTTTCGTATGCTTATATCTATCTTTCTATCTATCTATTTATCTATCTATCTTTTTTCGTATGCTTATATCTATCTATCTATCTATCTATCTATTTATCTGGCTATTTTCGTTTGCTTATATCTACCTTGTTCCGCTATATATCAATATCTATCAGCATATTTTATTCTACTCAAATCTATTTATATCTACTCATAATGAAGCAGCAGTAACAGTAAAAACAACAACAACAACACCAACAACAACAACAACAACAATAATAATAATAATAATAATAATAATAGCAACATCAACAAATGTTGGGCCTCGCCAAAAGCAAAGAAACAGTCGACCATAGAAGATAACGCTTTTAAGATAAGCAATCTCTTTAAGTAAAGTGTTGAATATTGAGAACTAGGGCATTAATAATAAAAATAAAATTTTACTGTCTAAACCGCGGACTGACGAATTATATTTCTTCAGAACCCTGAGTCTAGAAGATAAGTTTGAACATTATATTTTATGTGTTTACTATATCTACTTATATCCCAGTAGTAATGATTTCGGATTAATGCAAACAATACACATATATATATATGATTAGAGTGAGATATATAAATAGACGTACAGGCTTGTTTTTTTTTTTTTTTTTTAACAGCATTACGTAGGTAGATAGACTGACAGACAAAGATATTTCCTTTTACAGAGAAACCAAAATGTGTGCCCTTAGGTTGATTCGAACCAGTAGAGTCAAAATTTTAACGAAATGTAACATTTGTTTGTCAGTATCTTTTTACGACTACTTTTTTGTACATTTGTTATATTTTGGGATTCGTCATCGGACACTTGTCTTAAAAAATGGGGATGAAAAAGTTATTTGGCGTTTTTTTTTTTTTTTCCGCTGATATCACAGAGGAAAAAAACAAGCATTTGAAACTATACAAGTGAGCACTCACACACAAATAAATACCGGCTAAAAAACAAAAGAATGCTTGCAAAAAGGCATCTGAAGTGATAGTTAACGAGCATATTTCACAGGCTAGTTTCCTAAAGTTGTGACACCTTTTACATCTAGCTGTCCTTTTTTTTGTCATGTTTACCAAACAAAAGCCTCAAGAGCCACTCAAGCCACGCTGAAAACGACTGTGAGTAGGAAGGGACGATTATAAGAATATAGAGGAAAGACAACGGTCGACTCTGAAAAGATTTTAGTGTTTATGGAAGTATCCACTCGGGAGTCCGTAAAACAGCGGCTACCAGGCGAATTAAGTTTAAAGTTATTCTAGCTGACGACAGTTATACTCCAAAGAGGTGGTTAACAGTAGGGAATATAAACAGTACGTTTCTCGGACAAACTCGTTCGTATCGTGAGTTCGATTTGAACAGGGTGCCCCGATAAAATGACCTAGATAATCTTATTAAGCATATATAGAGAAATTGTAAAAATGTTTCGTAGAATAATTTGCTGAGTACGAATTCAATTCTAAGTGTGTACTTCATTAGTTTTGCCTTGTACCAGATTAAACAAGGTTCTATTTTTTACGCTAACGTGTTTATAATTATGAGGAACAATAGCGAATCACTTACCTAAACGCAAAGTGATGGTTAACAAGTACGTCTAGCAGACTGATTCACTAATGTACTGATTTTCACATGCTCAGCTATTGAGTCCGTGTACCAGACAAAGCTAAGGTTGTTAAATAACCAAAGGCGAAGAATATGACTAAAGAGAAAAAAAGCATATATATATATATATATATATATATATATATATATATATATATATATATATATGAAGCCAGAGAGAGAGAAAAGAGTTTTACCGAGCAATAAAATGGTGAAGGAAAAGGCGTAGTGGGGATGGGGGTTGTTGTTGTTGTTTATGTTTCTAAAGAAGAGTAAAAATGAAAGAGAAATATATTTTATACTTACCGTCTGTGTATCGGTGTAGACCGCGGGCCATACAGGCGGATAGAAAAGTAGTCTCACAATCGCATGCGGACAGGGTAAAGTCACTCCCTCACAAAGCCTACAGCAATACTATCATCATCATTATCATCATCATCATCATCATCATCATCCTGGGAATTATCATCCAAGTTTTCGCTATCGACATATTTCCAGTATCATTTTCGTCGGCGTTATCAACGCACGCGTCGTCGTGGTCGCCGTCCCCTAACTACAGCGAAGAGTAGGAAAGACTTCAACAACGGTAGGCTACAGCGGAAGCAAGGCTTGCCAAAGCGCTTGACTGGTACGAGCCGTAGCTGCGGTAGGAAAGTCGTAATAGCAGCTGCAATAGTCTTGGTAATAATAGCTGTTCGAGTAGTTGTAGTAGTAACAACAGCGTTAGCTGTTGTTGATGTTGCAAAAATAGTAATAACAATGCCACAGTTGTTTTGGGGGCTCTTACAATCGTCATTATGAAGCTAGCCTTTCTTATAGGAGTCGCTGATGTTAGCAAGGTACGGGTCACAAGAATGGGATAGAAATCTAATTACTCATGACCTCTGTCGGATATTTACAAAGTATACCTAAATCGCCTGGTGGTAGGAAGATTGTATAGCGACAGTATTTAAAATGTGTCTAGTTTCAAAATTCTGGTTTTAACACAGGCTCGAACCCTAACCACTAGCTCAGAGTAGAATCTTTTTTTAAGTGCTGTGTCTTATCAGAAATCACAGCTTACCATAGTTTCCTATCATTTCTAACTCTAAGCAATGATTTTCTCTTTAACACCCTGTCCTGTGCCCTTCGTCCTGGGTATGACAATAAACTACATCCAGCAGCAAGATCGGGAGATGGAGGTTTTGAGGAATGTAGGACCGCCTCTTAACTGCTGTCGTTATCAGGTCCACCCTGACCTGGGTGGTAGCACCTGTTACGGGGTCCCAGCTATAAGCAAATAGTGAACTCCCCCAAACAAGAATGAACAGTACATTTTTTTTATATAATAAAATGCGCGACAATATATTTTTATAGCAAATTGGCAATCAGTGCAATATTAAAAAGGCATAAAAATACATATTTTATCGTAAAATTTTCAAGAATATATTTTATGAACTACAAAATATATATCTAAAAAAACATATCTTTACCCTTATATATAAAATATCTGTAGTTGAAAGGATAAAATTACGTAGAAAATATTTAGATTTCAGCATTAAATAACCCATAGAGGTGTTGATATGACGCTAAGCAAAATCAACCAATCACTTGTTATGCTATCCATTTACACAAGATGATTGGATAGGTTACTCTCAATTTATGTTTCATGATATTTCTCTTGTCGTCACTGTTTCCTGCGAGAGTCTATTTTTCTCGTCAGAAATTTCAACATTTTTCTCATTCTAAATACAGGTATTTATTTTCTTCCTATTTTCTTAAAAAAAAAATAATTGTTCATATTCTCCGTCTCGCGTATTCTCAACCATCTTCTGTGACCCCAAATCACTATGAGGAAATCATCCAACATTCGCTATCATGTAGGACGAAAGACATTACATCGCTCTTCAGCATTCTTTTCTTTGTTTCTAATGGATTCTTTTCTATCTCTTAAAACTTTGATCAACTTTTGGATCATACCTTTCGCTATTCCAATGACCCTGTAGATTTTATCTTCATCTTGGGGTGTACTTCCAAACATCCTGTATTCTTGAAATTGATAGTTAGTCTCTTCTTCCCGTTTTATTTATTTATTTATGTATTGTGTACGATTTCTTGAAGTTTTCGTTTGGTGTTGGTCATCAACAGTGTGATATCAACTTATCTTATGTTGTTAAGATTGTGTCCACCAATAATGAATTCTGCTAATGCTTCCAAACTGAGCTAAGCTTAATTCGCTACTATGTCAAATTTAAAGAAACATAAACAATTGAGAATATATGTAAGTACAGACGGTCTGTCTTACTTGATTTTACCATCAACATTCTTAATTCTGGCCTGTCAAGAAGCATAAACACGGATCAACGCTTCAAGTGAGAAAATACTCCACTACGGTAATGGTAAGCTGTCTATGTTTCTGAGATGAAGTATTATGTACACTATTTACATTATTCGAACTATTGTTCCCATCTTTGTGGCCATATTTATTACAACGTTTCGGCCATTCAGTATCTGTCTATATTTCTGAGATGAGGTATTATGTACACTATTTACATTATTCGAACTATTGTTCCCATCTTTGTGGCCATATTTATTACAACGTTTCGGCCATTCAGTATCTGTCTATATTTCTGAGATGAGGTATTATGTACACTATTTACATTATTCGGGCTATTATCTTCATCTTTTTCGCCATGTTTGTCACAACGTTTCGCCCGTTGTACGCTCCGGCCTTCTTCAGGTGGTTGGTGTCCTCAATGGCCTTCTTCAGTGAGCGAAATAAAGGGTTCAGTTCGACATTCCAACCACCTGAAGAAACGTTGTGATAAACTTGGTAACAAAGATGAGGACAATAGTCCGAATAATGTAAATAGTCGTAATGATAATATTAAACGTTTTCTTATAAGGAAACATTTATCATTTTTTAATCGAGCAGCCAGTAATTTTTTCGGGTGAAATTTATAAAATCTTTCTCTTAAAATACTTTCATTTAAAAAACAAATTTCACAAATCCAGTAGATGTTATCACCCTTTCCAGTTTTGACGGAACTTTCCTTCCTAATCTTCTATTGAAAGTTGAGTGGAATGTCAACATCTTGATTACGTCATTATTTTCTCTTCAAATTACAGGTACTATCCATTTTAGTTGTTGCTGCTCTTGAAAGTCTTCAAGTGATGTGGTTTCTGTTATTTGGTATAATTCCTTGTTTGTGATAGTGTAGCACTAGTTGACAGTGTTCAAAGCAGGATGATCTTTGTTAAGACCATCAGGATTTACTCACTCAATCTTGATTGTAATTATTTTCTCTTCAAGTTATATGAGCTATCCATTTTAGTTGTTGCTGCTCTTAAAAGTCTTCAACTGATGTGGTTACAGTTGTTTGGTATAATTTCTTGTTTGTGATTGTGTAGCACGAGTTTACAGTGTTCAAAGCAGGATGATCTTTGTTAAGACCATCAGGATTTATTCGTTGAAGCCTTTTTTTCATCATTGATTTTAGGAAACGGTTGTATAGAGCTGTCAGTTTCTGAACAAGTTTGGCGCCATCAATGACAACCATAGGAAAGGCTATAATGATTTTTCGATAGTTTACACATCGTCCAGATTTTTAAGCTTCTATTTCATTAACCTTGTTTATATCATCATAGTGAAAAAAGTGAACAGCAATCCGAATATCAAATATTTCTCTTTCAAATGTCTTCCTACTCGAACCGAGAACTTTTTAGCATTCATTCGTAATTATATACGTAGTAACGTAATCAACTATGTATATTACGCACACCTAAAATTGTGCTAAATGTGTGGGAAAATGCTTCTACTCACGCATAATACCAACTCCTTGTTTGGTAATCAAGCCCTATAAATTGTACCTCTCCAATTTCATTACGGCCAAAATGTCCTACTCTTATTAAAAATATGGTTTTAAACATACAATAATATTATTCAAATTTAGTTTTACGATAATTCTTATTTTATTTTACATTTGTAAGTATAGTTAAGTACATATGGTTGTATTTGACATCCTTATAGGGTCACAATCGCCGAATGTTAGTGCCAAATTGTCGTATGTTTGTGGTGTGTAGTTATTTAGCAACTGAAATCGACCTATGAAACGGTAATGTTTTAAAGAATTTTTTTGTAGCTGTGCATAAAACGCACCCCTAATTTTGCTTATTGTTTTTAAGAAAAAAATGCGTCTTATACACGTGAAATTGTGATATTAGAACGCTTTCCAAGACTGATTATTAGCGGCCACAATCCTAACATTATTATATATGTAGACCACATAGTACTGAAAACTACAAGAACTCCTACAAATTGTAGTAAAGGAAAGCGAGAAGAAAGGACTAAACATCAGTTGACATCAAGATATGTTGTTGTCAGCAAAAGGGGCAGCCCAACATGCAAATTACAAATTGGGTATTCCAAAATCAGGTAAGTATAAAAAGTTAAATATCTAAGAAGTGTTTTAACGGAAAACAAAATGTGTGCCACCAAAATCCGAACGCGCTATGGCATAGCAAAATATGTCTTCTCAAAGCTAAGAATAGTAAGGAACAGGAAAATTTCTTTAGAAATAAAGAAAAGGGTACTGAACTGTTATCTAATATTTGTCCTCCAATATAACAATAAACAGAGGACAATCTCCGCAGAAATGAAGAAGAGACCAGAGCCAACGTAAATATGGTTCAACAGAAGGATACTGAGAATTCCATGGACGGAACATTTGGGCAACGACGAAGCTTTAGAGAAAAATGAAAACACAAAGGACACTTATATGTAGCATTAGAAGGAAAAAGTTGAAATTTTTCGGCACATAATGAGGAAAGAGGGCTGAGAAAGTTTGATACTCACAGGACAGACTAAAGGAATGTGGCGAGAAGAACACAGTGCATAAACCCTGCCCAACGAGCTTGTATAAATGATTGGCAGAAAAAGGTTTAGGGAAAAAAAGAAAATTTGCTAAGAATGACAGGAAATTGTGATCACCCACGACCTGAAGGGACACGACATGTATAATAATAATAATAATAATGATAATAATAATGATAAAGTGATTGACGCCAGATGACCTGAATCGAAATGTTCATAAGGTGCATTTATTTCAAGCTGATCTGCAATGATCCCAATATAATCTGAGAAAGTGGCAGATAATATGAAGCCCCCAACAAAAAAAAAAAAACACCTTTGCACTCACTGTCTTATTAGAGTGTGCATCAGCCGGCTAATCTAGATGATGATTCCTTAGCACCAAGTATGTTAGTGGGTGCCACAAACATGTAAACAGGGGACAACTGGGAGACAGGAATATATATGAGAATCCAGCCGATATGAATAAGATAGACTGTTCCTCAGATCCACGTGAGAAGAAGAATCCACATTTGGAGAAAACTCCAAAATGCAAACACCGACTCGTCGATATTAATTTCCCCCACCAGTTTTTGAATAAACAATAGTTTTGCGTATATGATTTGGTATCTAGACCCCCCCCCCCACCCACGAGGGTTGCATGTGGCACAAGGCCGAGTTTATCGTGGGTTTCCCGAGCCCGTAGGCTCGGCCAAAAAATGCCCGTATAACCCGTATAAACCAGATCGGGTTGGTCATTCTCCCCGAACGAGATTCTGCCCTTCGGCGGAACCTTGTCCGTGTTCCTTTCTGCTCAG